AGAGCGAGAGAGGGAGAGGCTGGGGGAGAGAGGGGAGAGGCTGGGGAGAGAGGGGAGGGGCTGGGGGAGAGAGGGAGAGGCTGGGGGAGAGAAAGTAGAAAGTAGGGGATGAGGGAAGCATATACTTTTCAATCTTATTATTGGTTGAGAGAGCTGGAAAAAAGGGACAAATTAACACGTAGGAAGCATTTAACTTTGAATTTACCATGTTGTTTACATGCACAAGACTGAGAAAGAGGTATAGTATATAGAAGAGAGAGAGAGTTTGCAGATGGTAAGCCTCAAACTGTACCTCTAAGACATCAATCTATCTTCGGTCTTTTACAGTATTTCTTCAGAAAAGTTCATTAAAGTCTTCTACACTGAGCAGATAAAATACATCATTTGTATTCCATGCCCAGTGAGTTCTTGCACAAAGACGTTTTGTCAGATTTTTCCATCACGAAGATGAGTCCTTTTACATTTTAAGTCTTCAAAAGTGACATTCATTAAGCTGCATTAAGATTTTCTTCTAATGGAGTAACAAATGGCGTTTCTCAAATGTTGTCAGGTGATGTTGACATTATGAGTCCTTATAAATATTTTTCGTGTCGCGTAGTCATCTGGTACTGAAGCTCCTTATTTCCAAAAAAACATTGCTTTTATCGCTAAATAGTCCCTACCATTGCATTTGCAGCAAGTGGTGTCCACTTTGATCTGTTCTTTTTCAAACTTTTCAATCATCAAAGTTTGATGACTTCAAACAATGTTTTGTATGTGTACAGCATTTCGACTCCACCTTCAAATGATGAGACTGCGCACAGAAGCTCCTTATATTATGGCGAGTGATAACATGGGTGCTGACCTCAGCTAATACCGGCTCTTAATTATCTGAATAAAGATTGCGGTGCATATGGATGACGCACTGACTATGAATCAGATAGAACGGACTGAAGCCGGGTGCTATCTTTTTAATACCCACGATGTTAATAATTCCACCGAAATCGAAATAAAAACTAGACAGCTCTACATGTATGACGCACATAAACTCCACGTGCGGTAGATATTCACAATTATAATAGATCTTTAACAGGTGGGTGAGTAACCTGTGGTATAGAACTTGATTTGTATAAGATAAGCTGGTTGTTCAAATTGGCTGAGTGAATAGTTTTTTTTACGCTCGTTTATATTTTAATATTATTTCATATTGTTTGACTATTTCATACTGTTTGACAGCTCTACATGTATGACGCACATAAACTCCACGTGCGGTAGATATTCACAATTATAATAGATCTTTAACAGGTGGGTGAGTAACCTGTGGTATAGAACTTGATTTGTATTAGATAAGCTGGTTGTTCAAATTGGCTGAGTGAATAGTTTTTTTTTACGCTCGTTTATATTTTAATATTATTTAATATAATTTAGACTAGCACGCTGGACTCAGACGCAAACGGTCCATCCTTTATCACAAAAAACGAAACAGATTCACTCAAACCTATATTCACTGATTGGGAGGTCAATATAAGCTGATATTGATCTGCATGTGACACTCCCGACCAATCAGTGGGCGACAAAATTTGTGATCGTGTAATAATATTAAATCATTTATCACTCCCAGGTTGCAGTTCAAATTTAATGTCCTTT